CAGGGTCCTGGGATCGAGTCCCACATCGGGCTCCCTGCTCGGCGGGAAGCCTGCTTCTCCCTCTCCCACTCCCCCTGCTTGTGTTCCCTCTCTCGCGTGTCTCTGTCAAATAAATAAATAAAATCTTTAAAAAAAAAAAAAATAAAAAAAAAAAAACAACAATAATAATATCTAGGGTTGGTGTGAGGATTAAATGAAATATGAATTTAAAATGTTTATGCATCTCTTGGGACATAGTAAATGCTTAATAAATGTGCTATTATTGCTATTAGTAGTGATGGTATTAGTGGCAGAAGTAGCACAATCACCACACTATCACCAATATGTAAAAATAGAGCCATTTTGATGCCTACTCATTTAGAAAATGAAGCTACAGTGTCTCAATTGCTCTCTACAAATAGCGATTCTTATAATTAAACAATGGCTTGCATCTCTGACTCACAAATTCCTTGTTCCCTCTTCTACATAAAGGAGGTAATTGTTTGATTCTAGAACATGCCAATTGGAAAGGAGTGTATGTTCATCACTAGTTAAATTATATAAGGTATATATGGTGGTTAGTTGGCTGCCTGAAAGATTTAAGCCTTCTTGGTTTGTTTCCATATATATTAAAGCTTATAGTACAGAACATGCATACTGTGTCATTAAGATGACAAATTATTTGTTAGGACACCAAGTCTCTCAGCACACTTTAGCACTATTTTGTAGAGGTGTGCACTCTGAGAGAGACATCTCATTATTTTCAAGTCAATTCTAAGAATTTCTATATGATGAAGACAGAGATGAATTAGATTTTACCACCCTTTTGTTTTTTCATTGCTTCACCAAATATAATAAAGACTCTATTAAGCAACCAAACAAGGGCGGGTATGGTCAAAAGCAGCTAGCTGATTCAATGACTAAGAAACACAATTTAAAATATGATCCTAGAGGAAAAGTGCTTTTACATAAATACATCTTTAAACTCCATTCCACCATAATTTTGAAGCTATGCCCAATATCTCAAGCATTGCAAAATGGCATTTATATGCATCTGAAATATTTATAGCGCCTCAATTTTCTGTTATTATTAAAGCTAAATTACACCACAGAAATATATTATTGAAGAAGCTAAATTTTATTAACCTTTTATGTTTATTTCTTATATTTCTTCCAAGCAACATTAAAACCAAAGAAACTACTTACAACTTCCATGCAATTTTTGTTCTTCCTGAAGCCTCTAGAGAACCCTTGAAATTCTAATTAGAATTTGCAGTTATAACCTACATTTTATTATTATTTTAAGTCTAGTTAATATTAACCATCATTACTTTAATTCTTATTTAGTATCACTGTTATCTATAATTACTACAGATTTTTAAGGAAAATGATACTATTTTTGTAGCCTTGATGTTTATATGGCCCCAAATATCATCAAGTTGAATACTAAACTAGAACACAGATACAAATTCTAACAGTTACATATATAATATATATTCAAAAGTACTAATAGGGTCTTTTGAAGCTGCATCTAATATATACATATTTTTTCATTAAACCAGAGAGCATTGTGAGATATATTTTGTCACATAGCAACATTAAGCTTGTAAGAACCTACATATTAATCATGGGAACACAGAATTTGGCAACTAGAAGACCTTCGAGATTAAGAATTCATACTAATCAGGATATCCTCATATCTTGCCTAAACCACTGGTAGTTTATTCACAACCAATGCTCTATCACGTACCTGTGAATTCCCATCACCTATCCGTCTGCCAAAGGCCTCCTCAATAGTTTATAATCAAATTACTGTGCTGCTAATGCTTAAAGTACAAAACCCCATTTCTTCACTATGAATTCAGTTCACCTTACCAGTTTCACCTCCAAGTCCCAACTCAATAGGCTGTGCTTTCAACAGCTGCACCTCGCCCAGTATGTACCTCATCCCACCTCCATACTTTTCTAATGGTGTTCTCTGACTAGAATGTCTTCTTCCCTTCTTTTCCTATTAAAATTCTACTTAAATTTCAAGGCCCAGCTCAAATTATACCACCTATGGGATCTTCATTGGCCCTACTAAAAATTAACTATATTCCCATCCTGCATTCCTATGTAAAAAAATATCTGTGTTAGCATTTAATACAACTTTACTAAATGTAGTGTACCTCTTCCTCTCTCCTTCACTAGATGTTAAGTTCCCTGGTGAGAGAGGAACAAGACCTTCATTTCTCTCCTTCCCACTGAGTATAGTACCTTGTATATATAGTCAGTACTCTACAGATATAAATTAAATTAAACGAGAGGTACAGTCTCTCCTAAATTAGAAATAATTTGGTTTATTAATAGAAAATTAAAAATCTCCTCCTAACTCTAAGTAATTCAAATAGAAAGTATAATTTGATGGTAATTACACATATTAAGTATTTACACATGTAAATATTATAGGAATCAGAGGTATTTTAAAACTTCTTTCTGGGTGCCTGGTTGGCTCAGTCACAGGTTAAGCACCAGCTCCTGATTTCAGCTCAGGTCATGATCTCAGGATCCTAGGATCAAGCCCCATGTCTGGCTCCAGCTCAGCAGGGAGTCTGCTTGAGGGCTCTTGCTCTCGCGCGCTCTCTCTCTCTCTCTCTCTCCCCCTCCACCCCCCCATCTCGTGCTCTCTCCTCTCTTAAATAAATCTTAAAAAAAAACTTTCTATTCATCAACCTGAAGTACTCTGAACTCCTAAGTTAAATATTTTCTTAACATAGACTAGTAATGCTTTCTGTGCATTTAGAGAGAACGAGAAATGAGCTCTCCAAACCCCTTGCAATAGGAGAAAATTCTCAGAGGTTTTGGAACACTGGGTCTAAGAGCTTTGGAAATAGGCCTTAGAAACAATGAGTGTGTTCCTCCTTCCGGAATGCAACTGAGTGAGTGGCAAGCAACAGCAAAATGGGAAAGAAAGGGCTTCCTGGAGCTAGGAAAGCCAGGGAAGTGTGCTTGGAGTTCACTGGAGCCAGAGCCTCCTGATTTCTTACTGATCCCGCCACCTATTGGCCAAATTATGAATCAAGACCCTGCAAGTGACAAGGAACTTTAGCTGTTATAGTAAGGTCAATCAACAGTTACCAAGTGTCATTGAAATAAATGGGAATGTTGTATCATTAAAATTTGCTTTGGCTATGTTATTTATGTCTGGAATATGCTATGATGCTTAACTGTTCCTTTAAATGTCCCTTGAAAAATAAATCTTAGTAAAAGTAATATTACTGAAAGGCACTCCTGACCTGATTTGTACTCAAATATTCAAAATTAGGAAAATAGAAATAGTACTAGTGTCATACATAAAATTCAGAGAATCAGAGCTAAGAAGAACAAGGATTCAGTGTTCTTAGCAGTGAGTAGATGAGAGCCTTCATATAATTTTTATTAGGTTTTAGCAGCTGCAGTAAGAATTGCTTCTATTGTAACTGATTGGCTCTATCAAGTGCTGCTCAGAAGAGCAGGAAATTCTCTTGCTAAATTAACAGCTAGATTAAGTGTCAACAACTAAGGCAAAACACACACACACATACACAGCATCATGTTAAATGAAAGGGAAAAGGGAATTAATATTTCTTAAGTGCCTACTATACTAAACACTGTGCTGGGTGCTTTAAATATATAACCTTATTTAATTCTCACAACACTACTAGATAAACATTAGTCTACTCATTTTACGGATGAGAAAATTCAGTCTCAGAGGTTACAAGTATTACAGTTCAAATGCAAATAAGTGTGACTCCATTTCCTCAGGCTTTTTCCACTATATCCTACTACCTTTAGAAATTCTCTAATGGATTTTATAGTTATCTGTATATCTCAAACGTAATTTTCTTCATTTGTAAAATAGAGTCCAGACTTAATCATTTCTATGGTCCAGACTAACTCTAAAATTTCATGAAATCTATGATTCCTGTAGGACTCAATACAAAAAACATGGAGAGGGGCGCCTGGGTGGCTCAGTCATTAAGCATCTGCCTTTGGCTCAGGTCATGATCCCAGCGTCCTGGGATCAAGCCCGGCATCGAGCTCCCTGCTTGGCAGGAAGCCTGCTTCTCCCTCTCCCATTCTCCCTGCCTGTGTTCCCTCTCTCGCCGTGTCTCTGTCAAATAAATAATAAAATCTTAAAAAAAAAAAAACATGGAGACGTAAAAGAACAACTGCGCACTACAAAATGTGCAAAGAACTGGAGGGAGACGGTCACAGAAGAGTAAATAAAAATTGCCTCTGAATGTAATAAAAGCTGTTCACCTTCACTCCAAATTTAAGAAGTCAAAATTACAACATGGATGATTTACCATTTTCACCTCTGAGATGGACAAACGTTGTAGGGAAACAGATACTCAAATATATTGCAGGTGTCACTAAAGACACAAGTTCTTTGGAAAGCAATTTGGTAATATATATCAAAATTATAAATGTATACAGCATTTCGTCCAGGAATTTCACTTCTAGAATTTGTCCTACAAATAGATCTTATGTGCACAAAGGTATATGCAGATACACATTTATCCCAGCATTGTTTGAAATACCAAAGATACTGGAATTAATCTAAATACCCATTCACTGGGGACTGGTTAAATATATTAGGATAAGTCCATACCACCGAATTCTATGCAGTATGCCAAAGGAACATAGTAGATGAACGCAAGGTATTATGGATAACATCCAAGTATATAAAGTAAAAACAGCAAGAAGTAAAAAACAAAAAAATGATAAATACACATATGCATCTAGAAGCACAGACTATTTCTAGGAGGCAGTGTTAGAAATTAGTAACAGTGGTTTTCTCTGGGGAAGAAGCTGTAAGTCTGGAATTAAAGGGATAAGCTTATCATGCATCCTTTTTTAAATTTTTTTTACTATATGAATACTGTGAGGTAAACATTTTTACCTTTTTTAATTAAAAAAGGTGTTTATAACAAACAGTCGTCTCTGGAGTCACTCAAGAACCCTTTAAATGTGAAGGTTACTTAAAAAATAAAATGTACCTTTTATCTGGGTAGCAAAATTCAGTGTCAATTTTGCAAAGAGATCAGGATTTTCAAACTTGTCCTCCTTAACTTTTAACCAGACACAGTTCTCAGATAATTCTTTGGGTTCAATCTGAAACAAAAATAACAAAGATAAGTATCTAAATTATTACTCATATTTAATTCTTCAAAGAATTTCACCAAGATTGATAGTTCCTTATCTACCTACTAAATCAATTTCAGGATCTATCAAAATAACATTTAAGTAAATATTCATTGGGGAAGTCCAAGAATTCTATTGGTGTACAAAAAAGATACACAACAGCAATTAGCCATATAGCAAATTACATTTAAAAAAGTCTTCTGGGGGCGCCTGGGTGGCTCAGTCATTAAGCATCTGCCTTCAGCTCAGGTCATGATCCCAGGGTCCTGGGATCAAGCCCTGCATCGGGCTCCCTGCTCGGTGGGAAGCCTGCTTCTCCCTCT